GCCTATCAGTGCGCAATCACCCATTTTTCCGTGAGGATATATGCTGCAGTCTTTCGTTATGCATTGCTTATGTAGAGCCTGTTCCGAACTAATAGCTGCTTGATGTTGTTACTAGGAATATTCACTAATTGTACAACATTTTGCAACCCAGCTCTGAAAACGCTCCGTTGTATAGCATTGCTAACTTTATCGGAGATAAAGGGAAGACATAGTGGCAACTTATTTTAGGGCGTAGCTCACCGCGTGTTAGTGCGATATTTTCTAGAACCTCGTGATGCCGTAAAACCGTTCACAGCTGCTATCTCACAAGCTAATCATCGTGATTCGAGACGTTCAAAGTATTTGAATCATAAACAGATGATGGCATTTCTAGAATCTCCTTTCTTATTGCCATGTCTAAAGCGTACGAGCGGTAACGCCGAACACAATAGATGAGAAAAACGCACATAAGGTGCGAATAAGTGCAGACGTCAACAACTTTACTTTTATCAAAATCTGCTACCGCAACAAATACCGTGCTCTATCTGTGGATATTGCAGCCATGCAGTCAAATAGTGTTGGGTAGGGTGAAATATGCTCTAGTTAAACACATCCAAATTTTGCGCGATTTGGTCTACTAAGAAAAAATTATGAACGAAAAACCGCCTCGAAGACTTGAGCGCTACTGTATGTCCGTTCTTTGAGAGGAACAGTCTGCCCTGTCGACTCCGCCGGTCTCATCCTGTCTCTATCCACAGGCAAGTCTAGGGTACTGTAGCGGCGGTTGAACGATGCCGCCGAGCTGATTCGGCGGCTTCGTAGGCCACCAAACGATCGAGGCGATCAACCAAGCAGCGAGCCCTCTCTTACCTTCCCCGCCGAACGCCCCGCGACGCTTAAATGCCTCGCCGAGCAGGAGGCGGAGAACAAGGGGATGGCATCATGAACATGCAGTTCATGACACTCTTCTTCAGCAGGAGGGGTTTGTTTGCATGATCATCCATACTTCGTTTGTGATGCATTTGCGTGTAATCGAAGGCACACATGAGCACCTACATTCTCGCAATCAATTGCGAATTTATATGCTACGTGGATGATTCTTGCCATGTCAAATGGGAGATTCAATTCGCTTCAATCTTTTCGGTGTGCCTTCGCCCCAGTGCGCCTCTACTGTCTTGTAAGGATAAAAAGGTGAGCTAAGAGAACGTGTTGCCAAAGAGCGAGAGCCGTTTGGTGCATCGTGTCAAATACTGCTCCGAGTTACAAAAAAATCTACTTCGTGAACCACCAGGTCAGGACACGTTTCAAGTAGCCCGCTGGAGTTCTAATTGAAATGAAACGATGAGAACTATCCTACACGGAAATCTATTTATTTCAATTAGCGTGCTTACGCTCACCTCGCAGAAAACTTGAAAGAGTACACGATGTCGCCGCAGCTTGCACAAGACGACGAAGACCAATACGAGCAAACGCTGCAGGTCATGGCTCTCATAAAAAGCAGCATTTCACCAATTAATTCAGCCAAAAATGATTTGCAGCCGTTAGTTGTTAGACACTATCAAAAAGAAGGATGACAAGAGAAACATGCTCCCATATCCCTAAACGTGCTCAAAACGAGGTTTAAGCAGGAGAAAATCTTTCGCAATGTAAACGGAATTATCCGAAATGCAATTTGCCTCCAATGTCGCCTGGCTCTTACTATGTGAACAACCCGTCTTATTTGGAAACGAATTCGAACATCACATGAATCATAACCGACATCCATATCGGAATGGCCTTCCCGGAAAGGACCACATACTGTGGCTAGCGAGGCAACGCTTATGAATACCGCAACCATAAGTAGTGTTCAAAAAGAGCTTAAAAAACTGTGTCGCGGGCGAAAAATCTTAGGAACTCACCGGAAATGTCTCCATCACCTAAGGACAGCACTGTGCTAAGAATCCTTCCAGTCAGTTGGTTGCGACTTCATGGGCCTTTCTACTACAAGAACAGTGAGAAATACTACGTTGCCCTACGTGCGTGTCTCAGACGAAAGCAGGGCATTTCGAAGCGATGGAAGACATGCCTACAAGAGCGTTGTTGAACTCTTTTATGAGGTTCATTTTTCGGAGAGGGGGATTTTCACTACTGGTCGAACACTATGGCACGGATTTCTATCTGGGCCAAAAAAAAATCATTAAAAAATGTCCATTTCAGAGCTTTAGCGATTCTCTGATGTTCTGTATCTCTAATCGCACAATACTATGGATTTTCAACCCACCAGGGGCACCCTAGATGGGTGGAGCCTGTTAAAGACTCGTAGAGTCAGTAAGACGTACCCTCGTTAAATCCGCCGGACGAAAAAAGCTGCAACATGCACAGCCCATGTATATCGTCATGACACAAATGGCCATAATCAACCTAAAATACAGTTTATGTGTGATGGACAAGGAGTAGGGCACAGATCCAACGTGTGATCTAGATCCAACCCGACTACATTGCCGTTTCCCAGACGCGCTCTATGTGCGATTCAGAACACCAATTTACGACTACGAAATCGATGTTTACTACCGAAACACAACAAAGATTGCGGCACTCTACGTACTTTCTGTTGAAAAAAGCACAGTGTGCTCATCTGTCTAGGTGAATCTTTCCTTGGAGAGCCCTAGTTGAAGCTTCGTTTCTTCCGCCGCAACAAACGCTCAAAAGCGAATCAAACAAATCAGCGCACATCTCTATCGTATCATCCTCTGCAGTAATCCTCCATTTGCCTATCTGTACCCACCTCTACGGCGTATTCAACATCCCATTTTGCTTGCGTGCTGGTCTCGCTGTCGGCTTATTGTTAGTACTTATCGCTGAGTCGTAAGCTTGGCGTTGTCCGACATTCTAGAGAAGAACGACGCTATTCGCCTCTATTCACTTCATTCTATTCTAACCGTGCTCTGTGAAATGGTTTGTTTCTGTGGTTCCGGTCAACTAAGTTGCGGAGACTGACCTCTTTGTATGTGGAAGGAGCTGTTCGACAGGGAGCCAAATATATGAAAGTTAACATTGCCATTGCCGCCCTTCCAACAGCGTCGACGCCTGGTAGATGCATTCCATTCATTTGATGATTGTAACTGCTTGATGCTTTACTTAGTTCATTGGCCATCGTTGTTCACTTGCAACGTCAGTAAATGAGTGGTCATCGACTGTCAGTATGCAAGTTGTATTTGATGAGATGATTTGATGTTGTTTTTGAGCTGCTGTCCTTCTAGGCGCAGTGTCGCGACCAATCGCGACTTCGTATGCTGTGTGCGTCACTCCGTCATGTCAAAAGGGAGATCCACTCTGCTTT